CCGCTCCCCTCCGCAGGGCTACTACACCCGGCGCGGCGGCGTCGGCGAGAGCGGCGACTTCATCACCTCGCCCGAGATAAGCCAGGTGTTCGGGGAGGTAACGGCCGCCGCGGGGCGCGGGGGGCCGGGGTGCCTGGGCTGAGAGCCGCTCCTTTCCGTAGGGCACGTGTGCTTAAGTTACAGAAAGACGATCATGATCTTCCCTTGTTTTTCCATTCGAGCTCCGTAAATTCTCCAAAGAGCTGAACATCAGTGCGGCTCGTGCCTGGTTGTGCATAAGCATATGGTCCTCAACGAAGGGCCATGTATACATACTTGCATGCATACTCGGGTAGTGACCCTCCTTTTTGGCATAATTTAAGGCCTTTGGATGCATCAGACAGGAAAACGTCCAACTCGTTCACCAACTCATTGCTTCTGCTCAGCAAACAGCCCCTGCTGAGGAGCAGGCTGAAAGTCAATAGGTGCCGTGCCATCTATCGCAGTAACTTCTTGTCACGGGATCTTGCGTTAAAACCTTGAGACCACTGCATAATGCCCTGGTTATTATCAGGCAGAGAGCTGGTGTCGCTTCCTGTAAATGGTAAAGTCTTGTTTCTTGCTTGCGCTGTTTCCCTGTGGCAGCTGATTGGGATCTGGTACATCAGCGAGTGGATAGCTGCTGGCAAACCGAAGGCATTCCAGCTGGTGGAGCTGGGCCCAGGCAGGGGCAGCCTTACCGATGACATATTGCGGGTAAGTGGAACAAAAAAGCAATATTTCTAGCTTTATTCCCCAAGGACATTGAAACCTGAAATAAAGAATGAGACTGTTGATTGATATTGATTGTTATAGAGTTTAAATTCTCCCTAGGAAGCTGATCATTTCACTTAGTAGACTTGCAGCTTAAATTCTAATTAAAATAGACACTTTCTGCTTCTACTTTAATGAAGAGACTGGGCCTCCAAGGTGAGCGTAGAACTTGGGCTTGTGCTTGGGTGTTTTGTGTGTGCGTGCGCACGGACACACACAGCTCCAAATAAAACTTAATAAAAAGGGAGGACAGGAATATTAGATTACAAATTATTTATAGGAAAGCATTATTCAAACTGGAAAAACACGTAAGAGGGTGCTGCTGCATGTAACTGGGAGGCCTTAGTGAGAGCAGCAGGAGGAGAATAGCACAGAAGCTAATTTGTCTAGTTTTCTCTGAGGATTTCACTGCTTTGCTTCTGAATTAATGCTTTCTGCTCTATCACTGTTGTGTAGGTATATATTAATTAAAATATTTCCACTTCAAAAGCAGATTGCCAATGGGATCGAGCACCTCAGACATTTTATTGTATTTACATTTGTTAATGAAAAAGAATTGTACTAAGCACAGTGAAATACACAATACTGAGTACTTTCATTTATGGTGTTGGTTGGTGAGGGTTGAAGCACTCATCTCCTGAAGCAGGTGGAACTTAGCACTAGAGGAACTACTTGCTTTAAGCCTATTACCATTTTAAATGAGCACATGGTATTACTGTGCTTACTGCTACATAACGCTTGGTCTTGTTTGCCAGTTGGTCTAGAAGAAGCTTAATAGCTTTTATTAAAATCAAGTTAGAAATTCCTGTTTCCTTCAGTGAGAGGATTTTGCTAAGTGAAAGCCCTCGAATCTCTGACCTTTAATATAAATATGGGAGACAACTTTCCTATTTTTCATTCTTAACCCTTTAATGTATATAACATGTGACTGTGCCTAATGGAATTCATTTGTGTTTATAGGTCTTCAAACAGCTTGCCTCTTTACTTAGTAAATGTGATATTTCTATTCATCTGGTAGAAGTGAGTCCCAGACTCAGTGAGATCCAAGCACAGATGCTGACAGGAGGGAAGGTGCAGTCAAGCCCCAGGGACGATGCTGTTTACATGAAAGGCGTTAGCAAGACTGGAATTCCCATCTCCTGGTACCGAGACATTCAGGATGTACCACAAGGTGAAGAACTTGGAGGTCTCATTACAGGGATGGCTCATCTCTCGCATTTGCCATTTTTTTTACAACTGAGGATATCTTTTCTAGCCCTCATAGCAGCTCCACAGTAAATAACATCCATATTAACTCTGAGTTCCTGTGTGAGCCTGAGACAGGATCTTGTCTCAGCTTCTCATAATGGCTACCGCTTCTGACTGCCCTGGTTTGCAACAGTAACCCACGTCATAAACTTCAGCGCTTATTTGTGGGGGTCAGTTACTGGCTTCACTGCCTTAACATTACTGCAGGCGTTCACAAATCCTAAAAAAACATGCATTGTCAGCTAGCTGTGGAAACATTGTCTTTGATGCTTTCAAGCTGGGAATAATGACAGTTATTTCATAGTGATATTAAATAGCTTAATTAAATATTTAATTTAAAAAAAAACTTTCAAGTGGAAACTACTATGAAAGCATCATGCTGAAACAAATACTTGAATTTATTCTCTTTTTCCTTTCCACAGGTTACAGCTTTTACTTAGCGCATGAATTTTTTGATGCCCTGCCCATACATAAGTTTCAGGTATAGCAAGAAGATAATTGTGAATGTGATCATCTAGTTAGAGACCTTGCCTCTTTAAGGAAGAGAATTATGCTGCTACCTTGGACGCATCCATTGACTATGGTAGAATATTTCTAACCAAACCTAGACAAAATAAAGCTTAATTCACCTGGTAATTGTAAAATTAGTAAGTGTTCATGACTAGAAAATATTTTACTAAAAACATATATATTTTACTTAATTCTCAAGTTTCTTATGATTTATACTACATTAATAAGAATTTAATTTCAATATTTTATGTATTACTAGCACCAAAGACAAGCTGAACTCTGAAGGTCTTTCATTTAAAAGGTGTAGCAAAACAAGGGCAATACCACAACAAAACTAGTTAGGTCTTAGAATAAACATTAGTTTAGAATAAATAAATAAGTTTATCAAAATCACTGTTAGAAGCAGGAAAAACCCTTAGCAATTTAAGCATTGCACTAGGCCAAGGTACTAGCAATAGAAGAGGCAGCATTTTCTCTGTAGTGTCACTTAATCCCTCTAAGTATAATGAAAGCTGAATTTGTTGACTGTAGGCCAGGTTCTAGCACCAGCTTTTACCAAAGCAGCCCTTGGAATTAAATAGGAATAGATAATTGGTCGTAGCATGTTACATTCTTTAAATTCTTGCGAGAAACATGCTAGTCTGACATATTAGTGGAATCAAATAAGATATTGTGTCCTCGTTAGGACAGAAAAATCATTACTCTGCATTCATTAAACAGAGAACAGAAAAAGGGTGGCGTGAAGTGCTGGTTGATGAAGATCCAGAAGTGTCTGACCAGCTCCGGTTTGTCCTGGCACCATCCAGCACCCCTGCGACGCAAAACTTTATTCAGGTAAGGTCATAACTACTGAAATTAATATGTAGATCATTGACTCTTTGGGGTACACTTACTTCCTCTCAGTTACTTTGGCAGGAAGGTTTGCTTATGCTGGCCTTGTGATTTTTGAATTCTGCACTAGCCTGAAGAAAGAAGAGAACATGTGGAAGTGTGTCCTGAGGCTGGGGTCCTCGTTCAGAGACTTGCCCATCGTCTAGAAAAAGATGGAGGGGCTGCTCTCATTGCCGATTACGGTCACGATGGAACCAAAACGGACACTTTCAGGGTAAGGTGTACACCTACTGTATTCTAACCTTCTTATTCTTATTTTCAGCATTAATAATAAAAGAGCTCCTGCAAAAGAAGGGTTTTAAGTGGGCATAATAGTAAAAGATGTATTATGCTGCCACCATAAGACATAGCCCTGTGGTACTGTTTAATCTGAACCCTTTGTACATTTTCCTGAAAATTTCAAAGTCATTTGCTCTCATGCCTGACTTCAGCAAAGACTAAGTTGGGAGGAAGGGTAGCCCCTGCTGTGGGAGCCAGGGTACAGCAATGCCCTCTTCCCATTTAATTTTCCAGGGATTCCGGAATCACAAACCTTATGATGTGCTGAAAACTCCGGGTATGGCAGACCTGACAGCAGATGTGGATTTCAGCTACCTCCGCAAAATGACACAGGGAAGAACAGCCACGTTAGGCCCCATAAAACAACGGGAATTTTTAAAAAACATGGGCATAGACCTCCGGCTGCAGGTAACGATAGTGTTGAGAGATACACTTCTAATCCACAAATGATATTCAGAAGCAGCAAGAGCTTCATTTAATAATCTGACTTTATACAAACCTGTTCAAAACCCAACATTTTTCTGAGACAGCAAATATATTCTTTCTCTGAGATGCTAGTTGCTCTGGAGCTGTCAAAGTAAGCTGATTGTATTATATCCAGGAGCATCCCATGCAAATGTTTGCCAGTGTGCATTGATGTATGAGGTCTGGCAGGAACCTGCCACTTCCACTGGATGTCATTCCCCTGTTAAATTGGTGCAAGTAAAAAGATGCATGAGGAGATGCTGGGTGTGAGGGAATACGTTAAAGCAGGGCAGGTGCAACACACCTTCTGTTTTCTTTCTAGGTGCTCCTCCAGAATTCACAGGACATGGCAACACAAGAGCAGTTACGTCATAGCTACGATATGCTGATGAATCCTAAGAAAATGGGAGATTGTTTTAATTTTTTTGCCCTGCTGCCTCATCACAGACTTGCACAGCCTGACCAGAGAGAGAATCTCCAACCAAGAGCACCCCTAGTCCCTGTTGCTGGCTTTAGTGAACTCTCACTGCAATAAGTGCAAAATGCCTGGTGGTACAAACTTTTAGGAGCAACTTATTAAAATAATCAAAAGAAACTAAATTGAATCCTCTGCATTTCATGGTTTCACATACCCCATGCTATGCAGTACTGTACTCAACAAATAACTAGATGTGCAGTAAGGAATTACACTATTTACAAGCTGTCTTTGAACTGAAAGCAGGGGAAATGTCACCCTTCGCTCCTCCAGGCAATTTCCTCATGACAGTCCCTGCCTGAGGGCTTAGGCCCAGGGTTGTGGGGAGAGCTAAATTGACCCCTGGAATCAAGTTAAAGCAGTTCTCCCTTGGCCCATGACAACGGCAGGTGAGGATGCTTTAAATAGACCCAGCGGAGATGCTTGTAAAACAAACTCTTCATTGACACCCCTATACTCTTCATGAAGGTACCTCCAAGATAACTGTGGAACGAGGAACTAGGCACAGAGCTACTGTTAACAGGAACTCCCAGAGCTGAGGTCAGACAAATAACATGCAAAAGTGAAATAAAAGTTTTAGGAAAGAGCATTTGAAGTGAGAGAGAATCCATGCAGATAAAAAAAACAAGTGCAATAGGGAAATAAATTTTATTTTCAAGCTTATCAGAGGATATTTACAAACACGGGGATGTATAAAAATATAAAAGTACTTGACAGTGTCCTTTTGAGGCTATAAATTTTACTTGAGCTTCTTTTTGTAGTATCATCGTAGCACTATTTCTTGAATGAATGCAACTTAATTCATGTAGGGGTAAGGATATTAAACAATGTATCTTACTGATGTCAGAGTTTTCAGTAAAGGTAGAATAAAAAGGGAATAAAATGTCTGCTATTTCAACTACTCAATGAAGTAACTTTCTAATATATGTCTGATTTTTTTGGTTCCTCAACTATTAGCTTGTGGCTTCTAGCATCTGTCCCTGTCAGCCTGCATGGATTGTCAGGCACTCTACTCCAAAGGCTTGCTTTTTTGCCCCCCCCTTTTTTTTTTCCTTTTTTTTTTTTTTCTTTTTCCTTCTTTTAAATAAAACTTGAACAATAAATAGTTCATTGTTTAATGGTCTGGAGCAGAGCAGCCTTTAAGGGACAGACTCCAGCCAGGCCTTTTACTTCACTGTTGTCCCTTCCCCTATCCCTGTTTTGTTTTTCAAACTGAGCTGTTTTCTTTCCCTTAAAGAAAAGCAGGAAAACCTGAAATGACAGCTCCAGTTAAAAAAAAAAAAAGTTTAAAAGCAGAATATATCTACACTATTCCAGGTGGGATGGCAGAGAGCAATGGCTTCACTGAAACTTGGTCACTTGATTGGTGGAAGTTAGAAAAAGAGTGCTGCTTCCCTTATCAGACCTGGGCAAATACTAACTAGCCCACTGCTTTCAGAGGTCATTATTCTGGTTCCAAAGGTACAAAAATAGTGTGCCTCTTAGAGAAGCATCAATCCTGAAGCTTTGCCAGCCTTGACAGGAGAGCAAGGTTAAGGGACAAATTATGCCCCTTTTAAATTCCTTTACACTTTATACAGTGTAAAAAGGTGAGAATAATGCTCAGCGCAGAGGCAGCATGGGCTACTGCCAGGCAGGGCCCCTGCACAGACCTGAGAAAATAAAGGGTGCTATGAAGAGAAGGTGCAGGGGGTGAGAGGTGGGACGCTCTGCCTGTGGGTGGCCCTACAGAGTTGTCACAGAGACTGCACTGAGCGTCTTGCACAGACTCCAGCCCTGCAGGCTCAGTTTTTAGTAACCGAGACCTGCAAAAGGCAGCAGCAGTTAGATCAAAGGCAACAGGAGAGGGCAGGGCAGGTTGGAGGCGCTGCCAGACGTGTGGGTGGGTAACGCACCCCTGCACATCCCATCGACTACCCAGCCAGCCAACAGCATGACCAGAGGCACGACCAGAGGCGGCTGCCGGCCTTGTAGCGACCTTGGAAAACTGGATGATTATCTATCAGCTTAGAAAGAGAGTCTGCTCGACTACTTCCAACTCAACAACAGTAGGAAAAAAGACACAGACGATACTTGTAGGAGAAAAGAGCTGCACCCCAAAGGCTCCACTACCTTTGCAGCTCAAGCCTGTATCAGTACTAGAAAGGTATTTTAAGCCAAGCTCTAGTTAAGCTGCCTGGCACCACCTCAGGAATATATGAACAGCCATCCAGCATCCCTGCAGCACAAAGCTGTTATCCCACAAACAAAACAAAAACACAAACACACTTCTTCCACATTTTTAAAGCAGCAGAAAAAAAACAAATCTTCCTGCTACATCCATCCGCATTTAACATAGAAGGCCTCAAACTTCCTTGAAACATCAGCCAACTCTTACCTGATGGGCTATCCCTCCAAGAGAATTATTTCCAAACAACATTGCTGCTTATACCCTGTTGTATACAAGTCCAGTATGTGGCTGGGAATACAGCAGCTGAGGTGTATGCAAAACCTGAACCATGAGTTGGTTTTGGAGTCTCCATCCAGCCCATAAACAGGAAAGCTGAACATGGAGAGCAGGCAGGAGGGGCTGCAGGTGAGAGGCAAAGGCCCTTCCTCCCACAGTCCAGCTGCCCTGGTGCAACTGCTGATTTAGCAGCCACTGTAACTCTGCTCAAAGCTTCGGAGCAAAGACAAAAGTTAGCAGAATACAACCTGCTCTTGACATCTAAGTCCAGGAAACCTTTAAAAATTCTTTTAAAAATCACAAGTTAAATTATTCAAAGCAATAGGAAAAAGCTGTATATAATTCCATCCCCCCGTTTTTTTCTCCCCCACCTCCTTTTGCTAGGAGCAATTTCTTCAGCAGAAGGATGTGCAGCATCAGGTCTCGTGTGCTCTCTGTGCGCTACTGGGGCACTTTAAGGCGAAATGCCTGTGGCCTAGACACGTGCCAGCCTTGCAGAGCAGCACACTGTATCATGCACGGAAGGACTAACATAGCTTTGATTGTCATCTTTTTAGATTGTCAGCCAGCTCTTCAAGAGGAATGTAAGAAGCTGTGAGGTTTTCTTTCTTCAGGTATCTGGGAAAAAAAGTTCAGTTGGGGCAAAGACAGATGCATTTAACTGTCTTAACAGCAGCAAATTACTCCTTTGTCTGTGAAGCCGTATTCAGTCCTAAGCCACTGTGCTTTGCTATTAGTCGAGGTGTTCCACACCGATTTCCTTTTACAGTCTCCTTCTGTGATGCACAGTCTAGTAAATGGGAGATGTATCTAAATAACAGAAAACAGTTCTCTATGGCCTAATACATAGGGATTAGGAAACCGTTACAAAATTCTTATTGTATAAACTACAAAAAAAAAAAAAAAAAGAAAAAAGAAAAACTCGCACAAAGCATCAGTCCGTACACATTACACCCCAGCACGGGCTTGTGGCCACGCAGCCTGGTGACGTGTTATCCAGCAGGGCTATCCCACCATCTGGCAACTATTCGTAGCTGAAGTCAGAGATAGAGCAGCGCTTGCCAGATGACAGACTCTACCCCATGCCGATGCAGTATCTGCGCAGTTCTGTATACTACGTGAACAGCACTCAAGGAGCAAGTCATTCCAAAACTTATCTTCGGTTTGTCTGGAGTGCCCTCCTTTGCTGCAGGTTAGCGTTAACGAGTGACTCAAGGGTCCTCCTCCATGTCATCCGGGTTTGGAGCCATGATGAAGTGCTGGGGGTACTCGAGGTGGTGCTCGGAAGCGTGCTCTTTCCAGCGCGCATCGTCGCTCTCGTGCGTGATGTAGCGCTCCCCAATGCGCGTTTCAAATTCTCTGAGATCAAGCCAAGTCTGATAATCCTAAGCAGTAAACAAGATTCAACACAGCAGTTTAAGAAACAGCGGCACAGCATTCCTAAGAAGAAACTAAGCCATGTCTACTTTTAATATAAATAACCAGGAAATATAACAACAGTATGGATTCCAAAGTCAAACCAAGCATGTGCATGCAGAACAGTTCAAAAAGAAAGAGGCTAGCATCTAAGACACTGCTGGTAAAATCTATGAACATTTTTCTAGACTAAGCTATATCTAAGCTATACTACTGTTTTAAGTTTTTATATGTACATTATATGTACATACATGAAATACTACAGATGATGTTCGTACTCAATTTGTATTTTCCCCTCAGTGTCTTCCAATATATTTGTGTGCATGTACATATACACGCACGCACAGTATTATAAGACTACTGTGAAAAGAATCCAAGTCAAACAATCATATAAATTCTATTCCAAACCACAGTCTCCTAAAATGACTACAAGCTGCAGCACACACTTGTGCACCCACTTCAGCACCAAACAGCATTCAGTGGAGCTCCAGGCACCCCTCATTGCCAGCATGCAGGAAGCAGAGGAAACTTTACAGCACTGTCAGGTAGGAAACGAGAAAAGGAATGGTGAGGAGAGACAAAATTTCACTCAAGTGAATCAGCCATTAAGAGATGGGCAGAATACCAGAATGCATAAAATATTGAAGTGTTGAACAGAAATGTTCAAACCATCCTCAGATGTTTGTTAAGTAATAGTATTAGGCTTTGTAAGTCCCTGAAGCATTTCATTCAAAAATCTTTATTCACCCTTACAGAACACAAATTTTATAAGCATTAAAAAAAAAAAAAAAAAAGAGGCAGATGGCTTTACCTGTAACCACGGGTGACTAAGAGACTTGTCAACACTGAAACGTTTTCTCATCTTCACTTGAAGCAAATTATTTATTAAATCAATAGCTGTCAAAAACAGAACAAGTAAATTACTTTGTTCAAAGTAATTTAAAAAACTCAGCAAGAGTTTTAACAATTAACCTTGTAAACTTCTGGGACATTTAAATCCAGTAAGTGAGTTTAGCTCCCCCTAAGGTACAAAATAAACTTCTGCATCCAATTTTGAATCCAATTCTTTAATTGTGTTTGAATCTAAACCAAACACATTTTAAGAGATCAGTGATCAACAAATATTCAGGCAAGAGTTATTTTTCCATTGGGATTTTTGGAAGAATGAACTAAGTCTACTTTTTATCAGGACAGAAAATTGCAAGTGTAAGGACTGGGATAAATACAGTTTTTATACCAACTTTTCTTACTGAATCTCTTGACTCCCAATCCCACTGAAAATGATCCAAAATACCAGAAACAAACAAACAAACAACAACAACAAAAGTTATTTACCTTCAGTAGAGATTTCCTTCCAGGGATTTGGCGGGTACATAAATGCTGCATTTTGAATCTGATCATTTATATCCTCATCTTCATTGAACGGGAATGTACCACTGAGGCTCACATAGACAATGACTCCTACCGACCACATGTCTAGGGAGCGGTTGTAGCCTTTACTTCTGAGCACTTCAGGGGCAAGATAAGCAGGGGTCCCCACCACCGAGCGCCTGAAAGATTTTTCACCAATGATACGTGCAAAGCCAAAATCACAGAGCTTCACCTGTAACAGAAGCATATTTCAAACTCAGAAATCTCTGGTTCATCTCCCAAGTACACGGCTGCCCGAGACCAGGGTGCTGCTAGGTACTGTTTCTGCCGCTAGTTACCTCTCCTGTGCACGCAAACTACAATTTAAGGCCTGAAGTGACTGGCTTATGAGGCTGTGAATGAACCACGCTCAAGGAGATCTGAACTGGCCTTCCTTCACACAGCCACAACTGAGCAGGCAAAAATAAACCCTGCTCCAGATCCAGAATCCATAGTGAATCCAAGTGAACAAGGTGCATGAATTCCAGCCAGCTCACATGCCTCTTAACTGTATTTAATCATTCATCCAGGGAAATCTTATGCAGAAATCACAGGCTGATTTTTTGCCAGAGCTTCTGCCCAGAGTTAGCTGGGTTTAAGAGACCCAGAATCCTCCAAAGAGAAGTATCAACACCTGTTGCTTGCACTGATGCTCAAATCTTCCTGGTTCTGTGAAAGTTTCTTATCTTGAAGGCAGTATAGACAAGGTCTTGCACAGATAGAAGGTCCACATCAAGCCCATCACTAAACCCAAGTTAACAAACCCTCCTCCCAGGGTATTCAAGAAAGCAGTGCACCAAGGGCATCCAGGTGGCTTTCCTGAATCCAATCCATGTAACATTAACCTCGTGGGACCTAGAGTATTTCCTTGAAATAGTCTGCAATTACTTGAGGTAGTAAGTCAGTTAACCAAGTTGAGTTGCAGTGGCTGTATTTCCTTAACAAAGAACAGTGAAAACAGATGAAAAGAAAGATTATTCTTTTTCTAATTTTTACTCACTTGAGGGAATGGCTCTGCTGATGCTAGTAGTACATTTTCTGGTTTTAAATCACAGTGCACAATATTCTTGAAATGTAAATTCCTCAAAGCAACAAGTATCTACAAAATAAAATGAACATTTCAAAAACCAGTCAGCTGACTAAAAATGTCTTAAATATCTAAAGCCACACACTCTAAGCAGTGCAATAACTTGTATCTGCCCAGCCTTTAAGAGTTAAAACAATTAAACAGCACAAGTAATACTCTTGCCACCATAACAAGATTCAGAACTGTCAGTTTTTATTTTCCTTTTTAACCTGAAGGTCACAAGCTGGGTCTTTCTGAACACTAAGCTTTCTGATGAGCACCTTTGGATGTCCATAATTTTGTATTTTAGAGAAGAAAGGCAAAATATACAGAATTCTTTCTCTATTTTTCAGCTTCCATCAGCTTGGTAGCACCTGTGCTGTCTCTCTAAATAACTGTACAGGAAGCCCCTTCTCTCAACTCCTCTCCCAAATAATGATGGGAGACAAGTCTAGCCTATCCTCTGAAGAAAGAGGGACCAAGCACCAACCTGCGTGACCATGAACTTCGTTATACGCTCTGGCAGCCGACTTTTCTCACTGGAAAGAATCATTTCCAGCATATCACCATGCAGCTTCTCCATCACAACAAAGACCCGCTCCGGGGTTTCAAACATACATTCCAGGTTTACAATTCCAGGGTGATGCAAATTCTAAAATAAATTAGTACAAGTACATCAGTAAAGTTGAAGCATGAAGTTATATTGTGAATTATGCAGGTATTTTGAATTACAAATTGAAAAGCATTTAAGGGGAGAGTTAGAGATGAAAAACAAAATACCTGAGGCAAAAAGCTATTGAAATATGTCAGCTATCAGCATTAAGACTAATTTGTTTGACACTAATTACACAAAGCAATTTTACAGTTAAAACACTCAGTAGCTTGACTATAGAACACAATAACAACATCCATAGATCTGTGGGCCAGGAGTGGTGATAAGACAATCAAAAATCACATTTTTGTGCTACCCAAGGGAGACATCACATAACCAAAGTACATGCGAATCTCCTACAGGGAGTGGATACTACCACCGATTTATCTACTCCATCAAATATTCAGAAATCCCTACACTTGTGAGATTCCCTCTTACAGAATTCAGAAGTCACACAGATCTAGAAATCAATTCAGAGCATTTACACACATTAAAAATAATCTTATTACTGACTTATTTGAGAAACTGCTATGTGATCTAGAAATACTTCTATACCTGGAGAATAGCCACTTCATTACGAAGCTGACTTTCCTGTTTGGTTGGAAACCTCATCTTGTCGATGACTTTGATAGCCACATCCCTTCCAGTCTTCCTATGTTTTCCTAAAAAGAAAATTGATGTCAGATATCAAGAAGCAGAAGCAATTCATAGCTATAAATTATACCAGCAGAAATTCCTTTTGGAGGAAACAGGTATATTTTGTAGAAGTGTAGAATACATCAATATTTATATTTAAATTTACAACTGGTAAAGGAGTAACAAGAAGTGATCTGCCCGAACAGGAAGGCTGTAAGTAAGTTTAAATCGGCTACTACTCTGCTGTCAGGCAGCACACGGACCCTAGGCACATCAAGTGAAGTTTTCCCTCACACAAGTGACTTGCAAATTGGCAAGTGCTACTGAAACCTACACAATCCTGTCTCCAATATTAAAAAAAAAAAATCAGGACAAATGTGAAGAAAATCTACAAAGTCCTCTCCAGTTGTTTCAGCAAATGCTTTCATGGGCTCCGTGTGCACAGGAGGTAATATCTGATACTCTGTGAATGCAGGGTAGCTCCGTGCCACGAAGAGGAAAAGATTAACTCCCAGACGGCAGACTATTGCTATCAGAAAGCTCTAAAAGACTATGCTAAGGTAAAAGTGCTAATAAAGCCAAACACTTCTTGCTGCAACTTGCAACAGCTGATTGAGAAACATTTTGCAATACAAGGATATTTCAAGGGCTAAATGACTAGCTGTAACTACTTACAGATGTTCTCCGTAACTGCTGTTTTCTTTCACATTCAAATCAGCAAGATGAATGGGATCACATACTGAAAGACCTTCACAATCTACAATTAAAACTAATCTAAGAAAAACAAGTCTGTAGCAAAAATACAGTAAGTATCTGTTCAAAAACAGGCTTGGAAGCTACTGCAGGAAGAGGGATCACACACAGAGCTACAACACAGGCGATTCCAGCCTCCCATCTAGGCAGAACTACAGAGACCGGAGTTTCCTGCGCTGGCTCCCAACCCAGCTCGGCCTCACCTGCTGCTCTGCGCTCGGCGCCGGCGGCCAGGGGCTTGGGCAGGACACGGGAATTGCTCCCAAAGGCTGCTCCATGGAGCAGCTAACGGACCTGCCTTAAAGAACGTCAGGAATAAAGGGCCAAAACCAGATTTATCTCCGCTGCAGAAAACGTGCGATTTAGAGACAAGGTTCAAGTTCCGAAAGGGTGTAACAAGGCTGCCAAATAGACTTAAAGACCGAAGAGCAAAAAATAGTTAGAAGAAAATTACATTAATCCTAATAAAGGGATTCAACTACACCGTGGACTGTTACATGAAGCAGCATAAAACTCTAAGTCTGGGAAGACAAACTGATCTAGGGAGTTTTGTCATTCTGTATCTCTTAAAAATAAATCAGCAATTTTTAGGAATAATATTGGAAATCATTGCTATTAAGGCTAGCATGATTTTAAAACTCCCAAATTCTGGGAAAGCAATTCTGATTTAAAAATTTCAAAAAATTCTATCAAAATGTAGCAGAAATATCATTAGTTATGAACCAGATACAAAATCCAGAAGACAAATACTAGATTTCAAGAGATGTAAAATACAAAACCAACAGAGTACTTACTACAGAAACTAGATTAGAGCTAAAACTGAAAATGAATAAAGGATAAGAGAAATCCTATTCCTATGCAAAACATTACAATGGTACAATGGTTCATGGCAAGTTTACATCAGTAAGAAAGTGCCAAGAGTTTCTTTTTATCCCTCCACATTTTTCATTCCCTTCAAAACTAATCAAAAAAATTTGAAAGGGAAAAAAAAAACCTAAGGAGTGGGGGGAAACAGCTGTAACTGAAAGAAACAGAAACTGATTTTCAGCTTGTACAAGTTGGACTTTTGCCTAGAATTTTAGAATATAGGAGAAAAATAGGGCTCAGATCTTGTAATAATTAAAATGCTTTCTGTAAAGTACAGGGACACAGCAAAAGCACCCCCTTAATTTTATTTTAGTTCTCCAAAGAAAATGTTTTGTTGTTATTATTTCAGTAAGCTTAAAGAGCTGGGGAGAAGAGAGTATTATAAATTAGCAGATCCAGTCTCCCAAACACCAGCAACAGTTAAGTAATGTGTGGGGACAAGCAAAAGAATCTGATGGATTTTTTTTTTCCTCTTCTCTTTCAGCTTTGGATGTGGAAGGGAAGACAACCTCTCAAGAGTAATGTAAACCAGACCATCCAAATTTTCTGAAGTAACAGATTATTTAACTGCACAATTAACACACAGAAGAATCAAAACCACACTGTTTTCTGACTAGAAAGACAACATGACAGAAGTAGAAAGGCTCCCACACTTAGTTCATTAGTTACCATTTTTTTCTTCCTTTCCAGCTTTACAATCTTCTCTACACTTTGGATAGAATATGTGGGATGAAAAGGAGAGTGACCTAGTTCAGATATTACATTTATAGTTTTTATTTTGTTCATAACTTACAAAGAAGTTTTAATATAAGGTTTTATATAAAGAGATGATACAGCTACATCTAAAACCACAAACTGACACCTCTTCAAAAATAAGTTTTTTCTTTTTATCTGCTGCAAGGAATTGCACAAAACAAACTCTTGTTTGTGTCAAAGCGCAACCTAGAAAAAAAGTATATTCTTACTGCTTTCAGTTGCATTTCTCAGCTATCAGTTAAAAAAGGTATAACTAATAGCCTATGTCATATCAAAATATGATATATTCTCTAAACTCTTTTTGATGTTAATGCATTATATCAAACATATAAAATGAATTGTAAGAAACAAGTAAATAAAAATGCAGAGAAACTAAATCAGAATAATTCTAATAGGTTGGGGTTTTTTTGTTTGTTTGTTTTTTTTAAACAGGATAAACTTTACCTACACAGTCCAGATTCAGCTAAACAAATATGAAAAGTGTAATTTTATCAAGCAAACACACCCTCCACCTTAACTACATACATTATGGAATCTACTATAATTTACCTCCATAGACAATGCCAAACTGACCAGAACCCAGAACTTCGTCAGCAAATATCTGGTACACAGAGCTGATATCCTAATGCATGTAAAAATAAAATAAAATAAAACATTTTAAAAAAATCAAGAATAATCAAAATGCTCATGAGCTTATTGGTTAGTACTTAGCTAGGCTGTATTAAAATCATATGTTAATCAAACCAGGTAAAGGATGTCATCATTACTCCAAATAGAGTGGGGAGGAGGAAAGTATTTTTCCTGAAGAGGTTCTGCTTAGCTGCACTGCATGCAAGAACATGCACTCGTATAAATCAAGAGCTGGCTGAGTGAGGAGATAATTCTAGTTCAATATATAACACAGAATTCTTTAGCTACAGTATATCCTGGTGTTGTTTTCTCCTTGAGATACTATAAATTACTTTGGAACACCCTGAGAAATAAACAATATTGCTACATGATATATATGACTCACCACATTCTCCTGGACTTGGCAGTTTGAAACAGAGATGCTGAGAGATAACTCCTCTGCAATAGAAAATATAACACAATAAGAGAACAATATGTGCAGCCTCTGATTGTAAAAAAGAAATAAACATGTTTACTGACTTATAACTTGGTCATGGTGAAAGAATTATCACTGATGTTCTGCAGAAACATCATACTCTTGAACTCAAGATTCACAGATTGATTAGGTAAAGCTATCTGTTCTGAGGGGAGGATGCTGGAAATATATGTCCATTTTTAAATCTTATCCCCAATTACATAAACAGTAAGGCATTACAAGTGTGTACAGTGTAAAGAGCTGGAGACGAAAAGCAACAGTAAGATAGTAATTGTATTACAGTTCCTGGAACTACCAGGAATTTCTGGTAGTATCAGAAAAACATAGCTAAAAGGATTAGTAGATGATTTATATTTAAACATGGTTACTAACTTTCTGCGGCATCAGGATATATATAAATGATGCACAAAGATAAGTCAAGTCAGGCAAAGCAAGTAACAGAAGACCTGAAAATTTAACACACATACATGACAATCTTAGTTTCATGAATAAACTATAGACTCATATCAATCTCCATAATTTAAAAGCATATTTAAAAGGTATAATCTGATACTCTGCAAGTGAAAGTATCAGATGCAGATAAAGAACTTTTCAGCAGGCAGATGTAGACATGCAGTTTTCATCACAGGAATAACATTGCGATGCACAGAGAGATGCATCAAGTCAAAAACACCCCTTTTCTTTTGACTTCAAGAGAAAGGTCAAGCTTCTCAGATAAGTTGACACCAAGTTTGCTACGTCAACTCTTGGAAAACAGGGGAGAAATTTGCATACAGGTAAATACAGAATATACTACAGATTTATTAGCATTCTGGAAAGAGCCTTTATCACTTAAGACTGGACTTTTTACTCTGCAAATTGTCAGAAAATGAAGAAAATACCTGTATCTGATTTTTATCACCTGCACTTTAAGTCAAAAAAGTGACTTAAAGTCACAAATACATTTCTTAGAAATTAAGTTTCTCTGAACACTGCATATGAAATATAAATTGAAATTACAGCTATCCATGTATCTACTGATGATTGTTCTCTCTTCTAGACTAGCCAAGTTCACACTGCAGTAAGAGCATAGGACATAGATATGAAAAAAATAGGCAAGTAAGCAAAAAAGCATACAAAATTACTAAGGACAACACATATATGACAAACTGCAGCAAGACTGAAATAAATTAAGGAGGAAATGAAAACATCACAGTTTCTGGAACTGCTTAAGAGAACACACTGAAACCTTGCCCATGGATGTCTGGAGAGTAGAAAATACCTGTTGTCTTACTCTAGGTAGAGGCTGAGTTACTCCCTCCAAATAAGCTGATTTTTCATAGTTTCTGAAATATGTAAGAATAATGACTGAAAATGTCATGTATTTTTGTCATGTATTCATGTATCTAGAGAAATCAGTATACTTAATGCCAGAATTCATTAACATTCAATGTGTAAATCTATATCGGGTAATAACTCACCGATTTTTTCCTCTGCCTTTAATCTCTCCTGCAACCTCTCAGATCAGAAGCACCCTATGATGCATTTTGCTACCTCAAGTGCCAGGTACAGGAGTCAAGAAGGATTTTTTTCCTCTGGGTCAGACTGGTAGAGCACGCTTTTTGATACTTCCTTGATAAAACATGGCATTAATTGACTCGCTAGTGCCTTTTGGCTATTTTCACCTGACAAATTCACTGCTGCTGCAAGTATTTCCCGTACTAGCAATGTCCTTCTTTCCTCCTCTTTTTATTCTAAGAATGAAGTATTTGAGACTTTGGATTATTTAAAGTAAAAGTCTTAAAGTTTCTTAAGGGTTTTGGAAACACATTTCATGGCTCACAGAGTGCAAGAATGAGGGGAAAAACAAACCCTTTGTTGGCATTTTGGGGTTTAAAAAGCAACTTGCCAATTAGTCTAAGAAATGGTGAAAACACCATTCAGACATTCATAGTAGTTTTTTATGATCCTGCAATCCTGATCACACTGCCTTTATCCCTTTATCTCTATTCCCTATCACTTCCAAGTTCTAAAATAAAAATGTGATTATTTATACCTGCACAATCATCTTTTTCTTTTCTTCTGCAAAAAGTAAACAATCTTTGCAAGTCTCTCAGGAACAGTATATATTACACGCTAAAAAGCGGAAAGAGCTTTAGTATATGTATAGGAATTAACATTGAAAGTGAAGTTCTGCAGATATGAAAGGCCAGTTTTGAGAGACCTTTTCACAAAGTTACATTTCACATACAACTCTCTTTCCTGTAATTAAACACAAATGCCACTACAGGCACATGTTTGTTTACTATTTCAGGCCCTGGTTGTACATGCAGTTGCTTATGATTAGCATCTATTTGTTCTTAACTGTTGCTGATGTTACCACTCATTAAGAGTAAGCAGATATCAGAGATAGGAACTAACCCTGCCAGCAGGCATATAGCTAAAAGAGGACGAAGGAGCAGCTGGAAGACAAAAGAAACTAGAGAACGGAAGCACAAGCCTCAGTACAGGATGCAAGTGAATGCTGTTGCGAGGAATCCAAGAGCTGCCCGAGGAGACCACAGCGTGTAGCTTATAATGAATTTGATCCTATGCTAGACAAAGAAAGGGAGGCCACCAAAGGAAGAAAAGGGTATTTTTTCCTAGTACTTGCAGCTCAGCAGTTCTTTCTCCCATTGGCAGCATTTACATCTCATCACTAGCTCCCTTCCTTCTCCTTAGCTACAGAGATATCTCACACTTTTGAAGGCATGACAGTAGATAATACCAGAAGGCATCCAAAACTAGTTCTTTCAGGTTAGATATATTTTTAAAGTAGGTTAAAAAAAATACTAAAAGCATGGTTTTTTTTTTTTTTTTTTTTACATCAAGTCACTATGTGCTCTTATACTTCTGTGATTAAGCTGTGTAATATGTATTCATATTGAAAAATCTGATTCTCAACTACTGCTCAATGCTACAACAGATGAAAAGGTTTCCCCATACACCCTCCACAAAGTTGAGGGCTGATTTCTAGAAAGTTTTGGAAAATTATGAACCTAATTCAGCAGTGAACAGATACATCTGCTTCATTCTATACAACCGTTTTGCTGAAATGGAATCTGTATTAACAATAGCTTCAGAATATGAATAATAGTGCCTCGTCTGCCTGCTTACTGTGATCTTTTCCTTGTCCTGCAGCAGTACAAACGCTAGCTTGAGGAGTGACTGGCATCAAAGCCTGGCGAATGGCTTTCTCCCAGCCCTGAGCTACGTCAAGTCCAACTCCGGTGGCAGCAAGAACAGGACTGTGATGGCTGCTGCCATTGTTTTCTCCAACAAAGTACACCATGGTGTCAGTGATGATCTCAAAACAGTATGGGTTGCTGCCCTGCACCATGTTTGAAAAATCTCGAGGCTGAGTCACCTGGAGAATTTCTGAAAGTGGAATCTCCTGAAGAAAAATATTAAAGATTAAAAAAAAAAAATGAAAACATAGATAATACTTTAACATACTGATGTTCCGAACTTAAAATGTTTGTAAAGAAATCAAAAGCAAATATATCAGAAATTAAATATCAAGCTTCACAACTAATGACACACTGTACACAACCACTGACCTCCCCAACCCTCTGAACTCCTCCATATATTCCTCGAAAGACTTCCAGCCCCGCCACAGTTCTCTCTGTACATTTATTATTCTCTACGCATACTGTGTTTATACAAATGATGCATAAGTATAAGTTTACACAACTTAAATAAATATGAGCATGATGGTGGCAGGGAGGGGAAGATGAAACATTATGAGGGATGTGATTAGGTGAGCTAGTTGACAAGCACCTCTTTACAGGCCTGCATCATTTTCAATAAAAATTCTCTTTCATGTAGATATTAACAATTCCTATTGACCTCTCTACCTTGTCACTGCAAGGTATAAGCAGTGTTAGAGAACAGATCTGAAGGCAGAAATGGTTTTAAGTTTATACTAGCTTGAGAAGGCCATTCCACGCGTGTGGAGGTAATACAAACGTACATCGCTTTCAAGAGGTGTGAACAAGCAGGTGAACACCAGGCTGGTATTAGGGGGGAAATAAGAGATAGTAGTTTATTAAGAAAGAGAGCACATACATGCAGATATAACCACTGAACAGCAGTCTAACAGCAAAGACAAATAACCTGAGACTTACGCAGTTAAAAACGAACACAAACAAAAAAGGAGTGGGCAAGTTGGCAGGACTAAAAGCAGTGGCAGGACACAGTAAAAAGCAAGGAAGGTGTTTTACCAGCTTTATTTTGAACACACAGGGCAATACAATTATCAGAGACGTCTGAGAAGAAAAGACTGCGTTGGTCAAGATAGGGATCAAAAGGATCTGGACAAGAGTTTAGCTGGGTGTATAGAGAAAAGGCTTGATTTTAGAGATGTTATAGAGGAGGAAGCTGCAAGATTTGAGCCCCCACCTGAAGGTGCAAGACAAGGAGAAAACCTGTTTATATGTTTGAAGACATTTCCTGAATATTCCACTACTAAACATATTACATTATCAAAAGACATGCTGAATTTATTGCTAAGCTTCCCTTATATAATGTCAGGAACATAATACATTTTCACTAGAACTTGCTTAAGCTTTCAGTTGTACCGTTGGGAAGACTTTTTTTTTGGTGAACTTTAAAATAAAATGCATATCCATGCTAATTTTTAGTCACAGCTTACAGAAGGCAAAAATCCTAGCTTTTAAGTAGGCTGGCTACCTAGCCAGCAGACTTGTCTAGTAATCAGGAAGAAAGCTTAATATGCTAAGCAATTCAGAAGAACAATACACACAAAAAACAAGGAGGGACACACTCGAGGTGATTAAGAGGGGAGGCAATTTCTGAGACTTAGTCTTGGTCCTTCATACTTATAAGCTTTGTCCAATAATTAACCTGTTCCAATTTTGATTTTAGAAAGGGAATATAAATAATACTTATCATACTCCTTTCAGGTCTATTTCAGGCACATTTCAGGTCTATTAAGCATTCTGTGTAGAACAAGTATAACGTAATTGTTGCTCATTAATTACCTTGTAATATTTTGTTCCAGATTCATTTTGAAACAGTGTGAGGCATTTGCTGTCCAGTCTCCAGTAATGTCTTTTTCTCTACAAAACGTACAGCACAACAATATAAGGAATAAATCACTGCTAAGACCATTCTTTTTTCTGATTATTTAAATGAGAAATGCTTTAAACTACTAGGACCATCAAATAATGTTAACCTACATCGTATTTAGACTAGATACATTAAAATATTTGGGGAGTAGAGGGTTTTTTGTTTAGCTGGGTATATTTAAACCCCAAGATGAGCCTTAGGAAATTATTTCCACAAACCTGAAAGAAAAAAAAAAAGCCTTATAGTAACTATAGTGACAACAGATGTTAACTCCTAGAAGTAACAGTCTACACAGGGTTTACTCAAGGTGTATGTGTTCACAAAAAAAATCAATTTATTTTCACTTACTAATAATTGTCAAACCCCTGCTTGCTTTCTCTTGCCCCCATACCAATGTCACAAGGGTTTAAGGACTAAGAAAGCTGAACAAGTCCTTAATTCTTTTGTCAACATAAAAAGGTCTTAAGTGGCAGAAAAGAAAGATGGGTTATAAAATTCAAATGGACAAAATATCTTGGGGGTAGAGGGAGAAATCACAACATATAGCAAATATCCATTTTATGGAAGGCTGCATCAGTAAGTAGTATCTTCTCAATTAAAAAAATCCAGAAATTGCTGCACATAACTATCTTACATTTTAAGCACAAAACCATTCCTAAAATATGTAAGGCTTTTAGAAAGCTAGCGTGTCTGTATAGATCTAACTTATTTTGCTTGCCCTGTGCTCTTATAGTTCAACACTATTTTTTTTTTCTGATGGAAAAATCAACGACCTTTATCTCTATCCTATAAAAGTTTAAAAATGCCCTTATTATACCACATGCAGAGCTTACTTCATTCTAGACATGGGAATGCCAAGATTATCTGCATAAGCTAGTCAAAGGAAACTTGCACATGGATGAATTGAACTAGATGGAATTCTAAACCCAAGCTAAAGGGAAACTAGGTCAAGGCATATGGGTGAACCTCTGCTTTGGACAAGATATTTATTAAATCATAAATCATGGAAGACTGTTTGTGAGGAGATGGCTAAGAAACAGGTTGAAAAGTACTTAGGGATTCAAACTGCTAATACATTATTAGAAAAAAGAAGTGTCTTGGAATGCTGAAAAATAAGAATACAGACAAAAAGGGAGAAAAAAAATGACAATGAGAAAAAAATACAAATAGTGAAACACTCTTATCCATCAGGAGGCATACAGATATTGCTGCAAAAATGAACCCTATGGAACTGATGTCGAGCCCAAGTTGTTTTAGGGACACAAAATAGCCCCCTATTGCTGACAGCAGAAGCATCATGGGAAATGGCTGATACTGTAACGCCCAATACAGAAGCTTCCTTGCATTAGATTTCAGAGTTTGCTTGGCTGAAGATTCCTTGCTTTGGAACAGAATACTTTATTTGGGCAGCCTTTTAATAGATGTCATGTATGAAATATTCAGACTGATGGAAGAAAAAAAGAGAGGGAAAAAAAGATCACTGTTCTGTGAGAACATCCAAAAGAGTTCAAGAAAAAAATGTAATGGCTGTATTGAAAGACTATGTTGAAAGCCAAGCACTAGGTCTGCCCTAAACACTGCTGGCACCATTCTTCTGTCTACCACCTTGCCACGTTTTTCCTATAATTAAAAGATAGTAAAAAGTGTCTTTTGGGCAGAAAGAAATATAAGCAAACAAATGATTTCAATGTTTATTTTGAGCCTCAAACATGCAGTTTGTTTGAGACAATTTAGAGATGATTCTCCTTTTTTTAAAAAAAAGTGAAAACCAAAAGTACTGTGGAGTCGTTGCATGAAGAATTTTAAAGAAACTACAATTTCTCTGTTGCAACAGATTATGCTTTATAAAGAATATCATGATTAAGTACTTTCAAATGATACTGTAAAGTAAACTGACTAAATAAGAATCAAAACATGCCTGTTTATCTAAATAATTTAAGGTAGTATATGAAGAACACAAAGGCACTGACCAGATTGTCTCTGCTAGTATAATGGACCATCCATCCTTCCTTCACCATCGTACTGCTCTTCCTCTTTGTGTGTTTGATGGACTGCACAACCCTCATAAGTGGAATATTGCTTGTTGAAGGACTGGAAAAAAATAACGTTAACAATTTAAAATTCAACAGTACTGGGGACCTAGGCCCTAGAATAGCAACACTAATTCATGTAGCCTGTAATTTTCTGGAACAAGGATCTTTCTTCCCATACAAATGATTCCTTTGACAAAGGCAGCCAATTTGTACACGAATGGGTCATCATCAGTGGTTGCAATGAGCTTCTAAAGAGCTACAAGGTATGTGCACTATGACTAGCTCTCCTAATGCAAGCAATGCAGTGCTAACACTACAGCAACACGAGTAACAAAGAGCACCAGCAAGAAGGCACCAGCAGAAGTCATCACCTCTCAGAGCAGCTAACTGCACGCTTGGGTCTTAATGCAACATGAAGCTATGATTAACATCTGTATCGTTATTATTTTCTCTTGTCTATATTAGTCAATTCTGCTATTTCATAAGTACCTTTAGTGTAACAACAGTGTTAAGTGTGCTTTCCAATTATCAAAATTGAGAAAGGTATTTATGTGTTAACTCAAATTACACCTGCACTAGATAATTTATCAATGTTCAGTGATACCAATGGTCATGCAGACAAGACTTCACAATCCTTGACATCTTGATGCACTCCAATTGGCTGCTTACACTATAACTCCTAAATGGGCTGCTAACAGACCGGTTTGTAGCCTCATTAACTCACAAGCTGGAATCAAAAAACAAAATGTAAAGATGATTTTACATAAACTGTAATTATGCCATCAAATTTGCTGCCACAGGATGTTGTGCACACAAAGAACTGTAAGAGGTTCAGAAACTATCAGAAATTATGGAAAAATACTATCTAGAGATTGAACACAAAGAAGATAGTACTTCCAACTCAAGAAGTCCCTGAGCTACAGATCAATGAAAGCTGTGAAAGTAGCTCTATACACTCTATCTTTACACATCTGCTATTAGCCACCAAGCGAAAATGGCTTTGGTTTGACCTAGTATAGCTGCTCTTATGTTTTTAAGATTAACTTTAAGAAAATCAGGATGAAACTACTCATAATAATAATACAGAAAGTAGAGATCACACTTGATTAAAGAAACCACATAACAGTTATCTGATGCAAAACATTAAAAAAAAAAAACACACTCAAGTTAAATATACTGCTGCCCAAGGGGCTACCACATGAATACCAAAGCATTTAAATCTAGAGTCATTTCTTTTATATCACCACATATATAATTGAAAGTAAATTAGGTCTATTTTACAAGTATCTTAATCACAGCATTATCAAGCTAAATCTTTAACTTTACTATGCTTTGATAATCATTTTTTATTTCTTTGATAACAGTCATAGCACTTTTTTTTTTTAACCATTAGAAGAGACTGTATTATTTCCTTTATATTTCAGATTTGCTTGGGACCGAATAAGTTTAAAAAAAACCATACAAGTTAAACAAACAAATATAATAAGCAGAAAGATTGTGCTACCTAGGAATACTTTATTCTATGTTTGATTTCATAAGACTGAAGAAAGCATGTTCAGAGCTCAGAAAGCTGCACTGTAATTTACCTGATCGTTTTGACAGCTTCCTCATCTTTGTCTGCATCAAGGTCAGATGGGTCCATAAAAAAAATTTTGTCTTCTGGAGGGGAAGGCTCTTCAACATCATCCAGACTCCGGCTACCGTCACTGTTCATTTCACTGCTATCAACTTCCATTGGCATGTCCAGATCCTGGCCTGGGCTAGCAGGTTCTAGAAACAATACAGGAGTTGGACATTATTCCATGTGCCTACCCACCTACACACTCAAATGCAACACTTCTTCTCCAATTCATACTTATGCAAGTATGCATAAAAGTACAGTAAGAACACATAAAATCCACAACTTTTTGATTAATGATGCAGACTGAACTAATGATGTTATCCATTTGGACAGTGAAATACTTAAGTCTAAATCCACATCTCAAAGTAACTCTCTTCCACAAATGAGCAGTACAAAGTGACCTTTTCACAGCTAGCAGCGACCCAAACCCCAAGGAAAACTATTTCTGTGCAAACTTTCCACCAACAGAAACCTAACTCTGCTCTCACTGCCCTTGTAGCCCATAGTAATAATAACGGCTACTATTATTATACAAAAAGTGGGGTCCAGAGGTACTGCAGGAGGGAGAAAAAAAAAAAAAGGAGCAGAACAGACCTCATTTGTACCTAGTACTATTGGTTCAAGTTCAAAGTTACCAAAAGCTGTACAACTTGCGCTGTAGAAAGTTAAAAATCAAAAAATACAAATAATTTTCACTTGCAGCTTTTGGGTTTTTGTTTGTTTGTTTTGTACTTCTTCCCACCCCTATGTCCACCAGAGAAAAAAAACAATCTTAAACAGCAGTTTCCAAATTATACGCCTTAGCACCTCAGTTCCGCAAGAACAGTGAAAAGCAGTTACAACAGCAACCACCAGCAGCAATAACTTTTTTTTTTTTTTTTTTTTTTTTTTGGTGTGTGTGTGTGTGACCACCCACCTCAAGATCCAGGAAAAAGCCTTACAATTGGAAAAGTCCGGCATGAGGGATGGGATATACTGTGTAACAAATGCAGAAACTAACAGGGCTGCTGCCCTGGCCTCTGATCCAGGCTGCACATTGTGGTGTGATCTGCTGAATGCCACCAGTTTTATTCCCAAAAAAAGCAAATATGTGTGAAAAGGATCAAGATTTTGGGCAAAACTGGTCTGAAATTTGGAAGAATGAAACCCAAAATTAACTTTTTAAAATCTTAATTAGACTTTGAGGATTGAAAGAAGCAAGTCGGGAACACTGTGTGAAAGAAAGAAACAAACAAAAAAAACCCTCCTACTTTTTAGAGACAGCTATGCTGTCTCTGGCCACTAAAAAGCATGGATATGAGAATGTGCTTGCCTTCAGACACTGCAATTTAAAAATATAATAATTCAAAAACATATATTTCATGGTGAACACAAAAATTGATAACAATGTGTTCACCATGAAATATATGTTTTTAAATTAAATATATTATTAAATATATTTAAATTTATTATATTAAAATAAAAATTGATAAGAAAAATTTCCCATGAGCAATCTCAAGAAAAGCATATTGTATTTGGAAAGACTGATTAAATAAATTGCAAGTGACTGCAATATGCAAGTTTTAGTCAATATCAGTGATTTCAGGTTAAAAAAATCAAAAAAAAAGGAGAATTAAAATAAAAGTCTTAAAATATTCAAAGATGAAGGAATCAAAGATAATGTATCCTGTTAAGCCTCCAGAGATTTGTCAGTATTTGAAAGCATGTTTTCCAGCTTACCTCCATTGAAAATCACCTCCCCAAGACAGTCTTTAGGCACTTTAGATGCACAACGTTTGTGACAATTGAATCTGCAATCTAAAACAAAAAATAAGAGCATAGTAACATAATTTGACTCATTATAAAGCAGACATTAACATCTACCATCCAGTACTACCATCACATGCTCCTGTTCAAATGTACCAATTGCTGTATAACTTAGGAAAGCATCAGCAATATCACTTCCAGAAGGAAATCTACAATCTTGTCTTGACTTCACATTCAGATTTCCGCTACTGCTATTTATTATGTCAGCACCTCCCTTCCCAGTACAAAACGCTTTATTTCTCTAGCTTTGTCTGTAATTACTTTTTCCATTATGCTGTTATTTATCCCGCCCTCTGTTCCATTTTTTTTTTTTAAACACCTCTATATGGTCTAAATATCTCATTTCTACCACTTTTCACCACCTGTTGGCTAAAGCTTGCAGTCATCAGAACCACTAGGAGCACAAATGGAACAAATATGCTCTACAGTAAATCCCAAAGTCCAGCTCCCTGATCCTTCAGTCTGGAGATTTGGCTAAAGAGCAGCTCCATTTCTGCCTGTCTACATTTCCTTAGACACAAAGCAGACAGAATAATACACAATGAGCTCCAACTTGACGTGAAGATGGAATTAACTTGGATATGCACCACACTTTTGCATTCAAGGCATCAGATGCAGCCTGCTCAGTAAGTCTAGTACACAGTGCTAGCATTACAGAGATTTCCTTTAATAGCGGGCACCATTGTATTTTTCAGCTCTATATGAACACCACAAATTCAATATTCTACTGTCCCTGCAACTGTGTTTGAACTGATAATTTAACCTCCTTTCTACTTTTAACCCTTCAAAGAGAGTTCATTGTGCTTTTAAGCCCAAATAAAAGATAAGTCACCATCTTCCCCCTTTTCAGCAACAGAGTAGCCAAGTACAGTTTAGTTTCCTAGTGCCTAAAAGTAAGCATCCTAAAAGAATGATAGTCTGTCCACAGTGTTGTTTTCCATCCAAATTACGGAATATGGTTATTTCGCTGCTTTGAAAGGCTGCGGAAGAAACAGAGATATTTCATATCCTGCCAAGGGCTGCTAAGATTTACTGTACACAGAACCACAGTACCAAGGGTATTCTGGCAAACTGAAAACACTCCCTTGGCCCAGAGCACTATCACAGTGCAAAATAACCCACACAGATCTGGTTCATGAATTGGAGCATCCCATAGAAAAGTTCCCATCAGCTAGTTTGCCTACAACCACTCAGGTTGGGAGGCTAAGAAAGTCTCTGCATGAGCACAGACTATTTTGTCTCTTTTGACTTCGGTGTTCAGGAATGTTCCTGGGCACATTTAATTTTTTATTATAAACATAGCTTTAGCATTCCAGAGATCAACTCAGAGTCCAAGCAGAAGCTTGGGTGAAGATTCTTACAAGGTTCTTAAAATGCTGAGGAACACAGAGCAGACCCCAAGGTTTGGAAATATGTACAAGAAAGCTGGGGGGAAGCATGACGAACGCTCTCATACTGCTTTCTCCCATGCATAGACTGTTTGCTATCAGTTCCTGGTTTATTAAAAAACATACAGGTTCATGCTGCAAAAACAAAGGCCTGTTAATATACTTATGTTTGATCTGCTGTCTGTACAATTAATACTTCTCTAGGCTCCTATTCTATGCATCCACACGTACTGCCACTAACTTGCACAGGGAGACTCTCACTGAAGACAGTCTGGTTCCATCCTCTTTACACATTGGTTCCATCCTCTTTACACATTCCCTTCAGACACTCACACACATTTGATAAAATCCCCGCTCAGTCCTTGCTTCTCCAGGCTGAAAGGCCACAGCTCTCTCAGCTTTTCCTCATAGTAGAGCTACTCCAGTCCCTTAAGCATCATAGCCTTGTCTTTCAAGCACTTCCTCAGCTGCATGCAATTGCTGGAGGCATCCCCTCCCAAGTCCTGTTTTGCTGCCTGTGTGGTCTCTATAACTCCGCCTTTCTCCTGTCTTTCCTAGTTTAAAATCCCCCTTACCAGGTTGGACAGCCTGCTGGCAGAGACACGTGTGCCCTGTTTAGTGAAAGGGATCCCATCTCTCAGTCAGCTGTTGTTTTTCAAACAAGGACTATGGTAACAGAAATGAGCATCCTGTTGCCAACATCCACAGTGCAGTCATCATTGACTTGCAGTAACTGTCTACTCTTCCATCCTTCCCCCTCACAAACAGGATCAAGGAGAAAACAGTCAGGGTCCCCAGATTCATGCTCCCCATCTCCAGAGCTCTGAAATCCCATTTGGTACTTTCCAGGGTGCCTTTGCATCACTGGTACCCACATGGCAGAGCAGCAGGGGGTAAGTTGGGTGAGTAGACAAGCCTCGGAAGCCCTTCCATAACATCTGGGATTCAAGCACCCAGAAGGCAACAAACCTCTCTGGACAAGAGGTCAGGTCAGCGGGTGGATGCCTCTGTCCCTTACACAACCATCTCTTTCCGCTTCTTCCCTGTGTTCTTGCATTTTAAAGGATCTGTCAGGTCAGCTGCTTCACTGGAAACCATGCTGAATTCCTGCTCTGCATGGAGGGCACTGAACCTGCTCACCAACTCCAAGGTTTCAGAAGAAGGATGAGCCTTTCACTTCATACAAGAAGTGACCAGTTTTCAACTTTCATCTTTTATAGAGCTATGACCTACTGTTCCACGCAGCACGGAGCCCACCTGCACCTCCACTGCTGCGTTGAGACTCTGAAAGCTCTTAGAACAGTCTCTTAGAATATCCTGTCTATCCCTCACTCAGCTTCGCACCTGCCTGCTTCCTCCCTGGCAACATAACTCATCAACTCATCATTTAAGCTGGCCGCCCCCTTATCTGTCCACTGCAAGCACCCTCTAGCTCAGCACGGCCTCAGAACCTCCCCAAGCTACCAAGGTTCTCAGTAGTTCTAAGCAGAGGCCAGATAGGTCTGTGCAAACTGCTGTGCCTGTTCATTACCTGTTAGCTGTTCTATTAGCTACTCTGTCCAGTAACAGAGAGCCAAAAGATGATCATAGCACCACAGTTAAGTCCTGAGGACTACTGAAGAGCCCCAAGAACTGAAATCACACATCTTAACATATGCTAGATATAAAACATACACTTGAAGGCATCTAAGCTGGTTCAGGAAAGGCATCAATCTTTAAATTCTTCTAAAAGATAATAATCAGTATTTCTTTATTAGAATGGTATAACAAAACTTGTAAATTCATTGGTAATGTAGTCTACAAGGCCTAATAATTATTTAGCAGAAGGAACACTTTACCATATTAACAACAGTTTATTTCCTTCTACAGTTATGGTGTTCCAAATCTACACGTGATTAGGCTTCGTTTTGCATAAACGAAAAAAAACACACAATGCCCGGTCTACTAAAATGAAAAAGATGATCTCTAATTATGTTAATATGCAATTCTTTTCAAAATTACACTGCTGTATTTGCAGTCTTATCAGTATTTGGGAATCAAAATACAAGCTTATATCAGTTTGAATTATCAGACCTTTACAGAAATTCATCACTGCAGCAGAAAACTAAATGTTACCTTTACACTGCATTCCTTGGCGGAAAAGGCCCTTGAGCAGCCGTTTGCAATACTGGCATATGGTAGGACGAGTGTAAGAATGGACAGCAAAGGTGTGTGGGACCTTCACCCTGCAAAGCACCATCTTATCCATCCAGATGGGACGGCCGCTCCAGGAAGGGATCCGTTTACTAGGTTCTGGGCAGCAGCGCTGAAATAAAGAAGGTATAAAGGACTTGCACCAAAACTGTTCCAATTTAGAGGGGGGGGGCCGGGAAGAGTTTTCTTCTTTCGAGTTGTCTCAGAAAGACAAAGGAAAAAAAAAAATGTAACCTGCAGGAAAATATCTATGATTATTTATTTCCACAGGAACTAAAAATGCCAAAAAGACAACTGCTTTGGCAGCCTGGTGAAATCCAGAGACAGCACATACAGATCCAGGTATAGGAGGAAAATGGAAAATTAAAATGGTTTAATTTGAAACAATAATTTTGGAAATTAAGACTAAAATGGTACTATCTTACTGTGCATTCCGCAGGATACCTTTACAGTTACTTGAATTATAAGAAATTATAAAAACAAATTGCACATCTGCCCAAAGCACTGCAAGACTGTTGAAGGTGGAGCTGCAAATCTGGTAAGACATTATTGAAAATTCATGGCAAGCACTGGAAGCAAGACCAAAAAAAAAAAGAGTATTAGATAGGCACATAAAAATAAAAATAAGATAATGTATGACAGGAGAAATACTTAGTGTTGTACCTTTACTGAAGAAATCTTAGCAATGGTTACAAAGCCTCAAAATGACTACCTTTCATGACTCAAGACTAGGCTTGTTAGCCTCTAGCTAAAAAATAAGAAAATGTAACTTAGGAACATCAATGTAATTTATTATTTGAGTAGGAATATAAGAATTTATTGGACTATAAAACAGAAATTTAGACAGAAGTAGGAAAGATCTTCAATAACTGTTTTTACCCCATAGTAAAAGCAGCAATGAAACAAACTAGGAGCTATTTGCCTTTTGTTACGCTCAGTATAGTTTATCTAATAATCTCTTGCAGTATATCCAAAAATTCCTTGGCAATCATATAGCAGTCATTATAACAAAAGCTAGTATTGATGAAAAACTATTTTTCTACTGAAAGTCCTTCATCACCTACATCCTCTTTGACAGAACTTTTTTTTAGCTTTTCAAAAAGCCTAACAATATATCAAGAACATTCTCTCCTCTCAGCATAAAAGGGTACAATTTGTAGTTTTTCAGTCAAGTAGCTATTCTATACTGATACTGTAATTACAGAACAAATCTGACAAGGTATTTTATCATTCCCTAAACCAACCTTCTCAGAGTTCACATTATCTTGAGGGATATATTAATGTCAAAATTTTACACAGAAGTTAAAATTTACTTCTACCTTACTTTTATTTCTCATAGCAATAATAGTAATCAGTAAATGTCACAGTCTAAGACTCACCAGAGGTTTTAAAATGAACAAAACCCAATAACAGTAAGTTCAGTTCTCCATAGTCATTTTAAACCACTTACAACAATAGATAGTCCCCCCAGAAGTTAAAAGATTTAAATGCAGAAACACTTTTTCCCTCTTTCAACCACATACCTCTTCAGAGGCAGAGGTTGTATATTCAGCTTGCACTGGTCTTGGAGCTGAAAGCCCTGCTCCTGGTAAGGACACATTAGACAAACGCCTCTTTCTCACTCCACTACAGTTATTAGGGATCTTGAAGGCACATCTCTTATGGTAGTTTAATCCACAACCTGAAAGAGAAGATTTTCACACGTACATGGCAGCAGGGGAGAGAGAACAACCACCCAAACACATGTAAGACAACAAATACAGGATTTAAATAATATTTGTATTTTGATAAAGCAGTTGAAAAGTTAACCCAGGAAAATGATAAAGATGGAAATGAAACTGTTCTGTTCTGTTTAAATTCCCCTGGCATTCTTAATGTGATTCATAGGAAAAACTGCTTGCACTACTTGCCCAAATTACTCGCTTTCAGTAATCTCAGCTCTAGAAAAAAAGGTCTAAGACTGAAGCAACTGATCTTTGCCCTCATTTCTCTTCCCACTAGGAAGCTTTCATCACTCCCTCACTTCAGAGCACAAGTGCCAAGAGGAAGCCAAGGAGCAGGCACTGCTACTACCTGACAGCAGGCCGCAGTATATTGTGCAGTCCTGCTGGATGAAGGCCATAAGGAAAGGGATTCCCCTTTGGGATTCTCTCCAAAAAATGTGTTCCTTGTGCAAACAGCACATATTTTTAAGATAACACTTTTTTTTTTTTTTTTAAAGTAGGAAACAAGGGCACTTTTTAAATCATTTGTCCAAGGCCACACAGTTTGCGTTAAAGCCAGGATAATAACTCGGGTTTCCTGATACACAGCCATTTCTCATACTATCAAAGGCTACATTTATCACACACTAACATATGGAAGAAAAAATTGTATTTCTTTTGATATCTGGTGTAAGCATACACACACAAAAATACACTAATATAAACAGACTTACCTTCACATTTTAAGCCCTGTCGTACCAAACCCCAAAGCATCTCTCCACAGTAGTCACAAAAAGTAGGAGCCTTGTAGGAATGCACATAAAGCGCATGAGGTCGAATCTGGAAATCCTCAACTGTAGCCAAAGCTTTTTAGAAACAAAAATGCAGTAAGTTATGTTGCTTGCCATAAGATTAACACGGATTTATGAAAAGAATGTTATTTTTAAAACAGCAGACTTGAAGAACAGTATTTGAGCTGTTTAGACATTAGTCTTACATTGTATTCCATTTAAACATGTATTTATAAGATTACATAGTTTTTAGCAAGTTTTTTTTTTTTTTTTTTTTTTTTTTTAAATCAAGGAAAAAATCATTGGAATCCACAGGCTAATAGCCACAACAACCAGTCAACAGTATGACTGGCAACAAAATATCTAACTCCAAGGTTTTGGGTTTTGTAGTTATTTTTCTTTCACACTGAGAACCTCACTAAGAAAAAATATCCAATATCCAACAGGTTTTGTGCAGATCAACTTATAGGTAAACATCTCAGGAAACAATATAAATTTTCAAGTTGTTTGTATCCTGCAAAATTTTTAAACAGGGCAGCGTGACAAGTTAGATTTTTATCTTTTAAAGGACTTTTTCAGAATAGTTATTAGACTGAATTTGACATTTGTGTCAAAACAGAACCGTGGAAAAAGTTTCCAGGAAACACAGAACACTGCTAGAACAGTTTCCATTTTCTTGATTAAGCACAGACACTTCTAAAAGTATTTTTGTCCTTTTTGTTTGGAATGCAAAAAGAGTTGTATTTTATGCCATAGTTACTTTGCCCTCATCTCCACTATTCCTTGATTATTAAACTATACACTAACATTTCAGATTCCTATGTTACATGTGAGAATTTTATTGAAATAAATTTATGTGTTTTCAAATGCCTTTGTTTCTGTTGGTCTGTTAATACGGAAAGTGTCAGACTGACAACAAGAAGTACCTTGAGACTGTTTTCAAAACCAAACTGCACATGCACGTAACAAATTTTCCAAATGTGCTGCTAACCAGAAACAATGAAAAGCTCAAATCAAGATGATCTGTTACTGAGTACCCTAAACATACTTAGAATAGTAGGCCATGCAACACAGTCCAGAACTTGGTTTTATGACTCTGAAAAATAATACTTTATGGACCCAAATTAGAAATTTAATCTCATGACAAACAAGATATCTGTCTTTCTAGAACACAGGCTCTGTTTGGCCTGCTCAGCACCAGTCCAGCTTTTATTTCCAGTTTCAATAACTAGCAATCTACTGCTGGCTTTTGGTTGACTTCAACAGGGTGTTGGTAAAACCTACAGAATCCAAGACTATAATAAATTAGTGTTTTCCCCCCCACTTTTCTTGAAGACTAACAAATGTTTAATAACCACCACTTTCTCGAAGACATTGCTTTCTAACACTATGAGAACTTTTAACATTATCTTTATAGCTATGATTCAGCAATTACACTCCTGTAAAGCAGTATAAACACAAAGAAGCTGCAGAACAAAAAAAGGCAAACAAGAGAAAAAAAAAAAAGAGGATTAAAATACGATATTGAAACAATACGAAATTCATCACTGGGTCATCAGTGTCACTTGGATATTTTTGCAAATCTCTTCCCCAGCAAAACAGTGACCAGTGACCATAAGACCATTCAGTCAGCGAGCTCAGTCTGGTAACTGTTCCATACAAATACCTACATTAAAAAATATATACATACACTGAATAAAGAATTGTTATAACAATACCTACCAGAAAGAACAACCTCAACAAGATCTCCTTCATGTATCTCTTCTGCTGACGTGATCCGTTGCAAAATATTATCTGAGTTCAGGTCATGACGGAAGAGCAGAATTTTGTCATACATGCCGAAAAACCCGCACTCTGGGAACTGCAAGAGAAAGCAAACTCTAAATTAATACATGGTCTTTGCTAATCCTGTAACTGAACATTTGCAATAACAACTATAAAATTTTGACTGTTATAACTGTACCATGAAAACTAAATTGATCTGGTTCACTTTTTCAAGAACTAAGGCATTTTTTGATGTAAAATGCAGCGTGCAGGGGGGTTGGACTAGATAATCTCTAGAGGTCCCTTACAACCTTAAGGATTCTATGATTCTATAAGAGAAAGTTAACAATGCAAACCAAATCCACTGCTATGAGTTTCTTCCCTGCCTCCCTTCCCAAATGGCCACAGTTTTTGGAAACCTGGGATAGAAGAATACTTCGGGGTTTATTTCACCGAGTTTCTGAACTATCAGATATGCATAATCAGTCTGTCATCTGAAAGGCAATCTGGCTCTTGGCAATTCAGAAAAATCAGAAACTCTTTTCAATGCCATATTATACCAGCATTCTGGTCAGCAGATATTTGGATCCAAGTATCCAACAGTGCTTGAAGCATTTTACTGATGAGTGAAGCCAGAGAGGATTCAGGGCACTGTTTTACAACAGTTTAGACTAGCAAATACAGGAAGAGTAACATTAATTTAATGCCAATTATAGACGACAAGCTTCCAAATCCATTTATGGAGAGATATGCCAAGTAACAGGCCATTTTTCTGTGACACTTCACTGTGGCTTCCTCCTTTGGTATTTTCCTCACTCTTCAAAATACTGTCAAACGTGAGCAAAACTTCTTAAAATGAAGATGTCAAACATACACAAATAATTCACAGAGGTAAAAGAGCAGGAAGAGATCCTGAAGGGTTATGAGTACCACTCAACCGCTTCCTTGACCTCTATGTTTAAACTAGAGGCCTCTGCCAGGGTGTGAATCAACATACAAAAGTGCTTCACAGAAGAATGGAGAAGAAACGTGGAAAAAGATACGGAATAGTTTACAAAAAAAAATTATTTATCGGGTAAAGAACAAGCTACAGCTTGGTAATTTATATCTTGCACAGTCAGTAAGCAGCAGGACATAAACAGCAGGAAGCTCATAGCCTATTATTTGCCTATTGTAGCCAAAGACTTGCTTCTATCAAACTTAAGACTTACAATGAAGGTGTCCGTCACACCCTTTGCTCTCTCACTCCCCTCTCAGAGGAGAAATCATTTCCTCTTTCTGGTAGCTTTCACCAAAAATATTAAGCTGGCCTTCTCTGTTTTGCTGTGCACAGCCAGTATGCTATTGTTTAGAATGCCTCCTGTGATCTGTAAATACCTGAATGCCTTCCTCTCTTTCCACACTGTCTCAGTATATTAATCCATGGATTGATCTCGGTAGTGACAAACAGCTATGAATATTCTGAAAATTACATTTTTTTCAATTCTCCCAAAGAGTGTTGGTATTAGGAAAGCAAATAAAAAGCTTGGGATTTGGCTGTGCTGTCCAGATCTGTGTCCCAGTACCTCTGCATGCACGCACAGGAGTTTATATTCAGAACATGCAGAGATACAGCATAGTAGGAAATGGCATTTCTTCATACCTCAAACAGTTCATTACTCTGATTTAAAATCCAATTCAAAATACCAGGAGAATTAACCAGGCTAGGAGGAGTCAAATATGCGGCCTACACTCTTTACCTGAAAGTATAAAATATTTATAACTAATCAGCTTTGCACAGAGTGCCTTCTGAAGTTATTCTATTAACGGCACAGTAATCAGTAGGAAGACATTACAGTTCACCTTCATAGTGCTCAAAATGTATTTCCAATATCTCCAATATAGGCAGATTTTTCCACCTTTCTCCCAATTAAAATATAGTTTATTTTTGGTGAACACACTCTTTTGAAAATTTTCCAAAAGATTTGAACTGTCTTTCTACAAAAATGTTCTATATAAAAATAAGCATATTATATTTAGAACGTATCAAGCTTTGATTATACTTTATTCTATTTATTTTACAGTGCCTATGCAAGCATATACACAGACACTGCAAAACTTCTGAAGCAAATTTTATTCCTCTAAGAAATACCTCTGCTTATGGCTTGCTCAAAGAGTGAACTTGTCAACTTTCTTGGTGTAGACAGTGCATTTATTAAAAACACAACATTAATTATAGTAACTTCCAAGACATTCAAATTCCACATTGACTAAAATATCACCCTCTATGCAAAAAGGGATTTCATAGGAGCTGAATATGAAATTACACACGATCAAAATGAAAAGCTCAAGAATATCGGTACCAAGATCAAAAAAGCAAGAGCTGAGGGCACAACGAGTTTCTCACTGTCCAGCTACTGCATGTGCTCTAATGGCTGTTTATACCAAATCGTAATAAATTTTCCACCATCTCCAAAAAATGAAAAGTGCAAATCTGTAAATTTTGATCTTCAGGAAAAAGTAATAAAACCTCAGTTTCTCAAATAACAAGAAAACAGGTTATATCTACATTTTTATAATAAGTGTTGTGAGGTTAGTTTCATTTGTTCATACTATATACCCTGTGTAGTGAAGAAGCAGCACACTCAGAACAGGAACCAATAAATCAAGCTATCACATTAATGCTACAATCAACTTTATGTTCATTACAACTTTTAATTATAGCATATCAGTTACACCAGGTTACAGAATAACTTAATTGCAACAGAAAAGAGAATCACCACAAATCTAGTATGTATCTGACTGCAGATAAATATTACACTTTTTATTAATACTGGCAGTGAATTTCAGTTGCCAGAAGAGACAACTGGTGGTTCAGAGATTTAGCCTCAGCTGCAAACAACAGTTCTAAAGGATCTTCTTAACAATGTATTTCCCAGGCATAAGTCTCCTTTTGATAGAGATATGTCTTTATTCCTCTTTTTCTTTTCAGCCTTTGAGACCATAAACCCATCTCGCATTTGTCAGGACATCCCCAATCACAGTTTTCTACCTCACGAACTAGAGATCACAATCACAAATCGAGGTACATTTATTTAAACCATATATTCAGTATTTGACATCATTTACCTATTATGTATAAATCTTGTATTTCTTAAAATGCTTTAAATATACCAATTAATTTTGGTTAATAAAAAATACTAGCTATACAGTAACCAAATACTGTAGGCAAATTCACAAATCCTCTTAATAATAGCAAACATAATAACTAAATATATCAGATTTTAATGCTGCATTCCTTAGAAAGCAACTTCAATATGATTTCCAAAGTTTGTAACTATAACCCAAAGTTTGTAATCAAGATCTTACTTTTCAAATAAATTGCACATTCAACAGGTTAATTATGTGGAATAAAATATTATAGGAAAAAAAAAGCCAAATCATCTATTGCAGGCTGTTAGAACTCTTGGTATCAGAACCTCATACAGTTCTCCATTAAAAATGTGACCATCTAAACTGCAACTAAAATGCAACTATAGCTTCATAAGCTCCCACCACATATATGTTTTACTGCCCCTCTCTCTCTCTCTCAAAGATACAAGTACACACATTAGATGTCTGCAAACCCCAAATTTTATAGCTGCAATGTTTAACCTCATATAATGCCTCCATGTATAGGCTTCAGCTTGATTAGCAGCATCTAGACTAAGATGCAGAGCCCCAAGCTCCAAGAGACACACACGTAGCTGAAGGGTCTTATCATAGCTCCGTTAGATATCAAGGCTTTTCAATTTGCTCCGTAAATCCTGCCCTTCCTTTGCGCTGCTCTCCTTCCCCACCACCAATTCCCTTGTGAAAAACACATGTAGACCCTAGCCCAAAGAGAATTCTCTCATCAGTCCCTTCTCTGCACGTCAGCTCCAATTTCAGCCCTCTGCCCCTGCATCGTCCCCGGCCGGCTGGCCCCGAGGAGCTGAGCGGGGCCCATCAAAGCCAAAGCCTTTCAGTGGGGTGAGCTCTAGGCCCCGAGGCCCTGCAGCACCGTGCTCTCTGCTCTGTTCCCCAGTACACGGGAGAACACAGCACTTCTTGCTAGCACCTCTGCCAGAAGGCTACACACCGAACAGCAGAGAAAAATAACTTCATCTGTGAACAAAGGATTTTATTTCAAGTGGTATCTTTTAGCAGAAATTTTATGCAAAGCTAAACCATGCTGAAGTTTTACACTAGCAAATTCTTTTGTCTGTACCACAATACAGCTTTTAGAGCTTCTCTTATACTCAGTTACATGACTACTAAGGAAAAATAGCATCCACTTATTTTGAAGTGTTAAGAGGTCATAATGCCAACTTGAAAATGAAACTCAAAGTGGAATTTTTAAAGCCTATTTTATCTCACAGGATTATAAAGCTATTACTTTCCTGCATAAAAGCCAAAATGATCTGCACAGTGACTCAAACATAAATTGCTAATCCCAGTGTTACTAAATTTCCTAAAAGCAAAATGGAAACTGTTCCCAGTGTAGCAGTTCCAGAAGAGCATCTAACGACAGGAAATCACTTGTGGGAAGTCTGCTTATGCAACAGCCAGTGCCAAATTCATCTCTGGAGTGAGAACATCAATACCGCTAACTCACACAAAGAACGTCTGCAAGATCCTCTGCACTTGCAGAGTTCTAGCATCCCTAATACTACTGCTACAAGATTTAAACCAAGAAAAATGGTAGACATGTCTACAATTGGTAACACTTACAATACAGCTGTTTTAGTTGCATTATAGACTTCTTTTTCCCCAGAAGAACCTCAAAATAGAGCACGCCAGTATTGCTGGAGCAAAACATTCAACTGGGGTTTCATTTTATCTTGGCAGTAACTGAAAAATCTCTCTAGTTCAAGTTCCAGGACTTACTTTACAAAGTCCTGGACCAGTCGCCAAAAATTCACACTAGGGAAAAGCGTAGGCGGATATTGTTTCAAGGTCCAGTATCTCATGACCTATCATAACTCAAAACAAATGCTTCATACCACTGAACGTTAATCCACTAATAGTACAAAACACCCATTACCTTGGAAAGTCTCTTAGCTCACTGCAATCCCTCCAATTTATTATCCCACATCC